ACCATGACACAGTCTGCCATGCTGTGAGGCAGTCACATTGCTCTCACCAGAGGCTCAATAAATGAGGCCTCCTCCACAATCGTGAGATAAATCAGCCTCTTTTCTTTATAAAGTGCCTAGTTTTAGATATTTGGTTATAGGGACAGAAAATGGACACTTATACAGGAAACATCTCAGTACGATATAAAGTCATCTTCACTAATTACATCCGCAGGGACCCTATATCCAAGTAACATCATACACTGAAGTTTCAGGGAGAGATGTGTACCGGAAGATGCCATTCACCCAATCCAGCACAGGGAAGTAGTGCTTGGTCTGTCTGAAAGAAGCCTGTCAATCCCATCACTTCTACTGAGATCAGTAAAGTCCAGAGGAGATCAAGTATTGGGAGAACAAGTTCTTTGTACACGGCATAGGGAGAATACTGCTCTGGCCAGAGCAGGCAAGCCTTTGATGGGGGAAAAAGACATTGAAAGAGACTGAAGGTTATAGCTGTAAGCCCTGAAGGGTTCAGGAAAAAAGAACGCCTTAGTGCAGTGGTTCTCAAACTGTGGGTCACAACCCCTTTTGGGGGGGTCACATATCAGATAACCTGCATATCGGATATTTACATTACGATTCATAGCAGTAGCAAAATTACAGTTATGAAGTAGCAATGGAAATAATTTTATGGTTGGAGGTCACCACAACTTGAGGAACTGTGGTAAAGGGTCACAGCACTAGGAAAGTTGAGAACCGCGGTCTTGGAGGAATTATATTCTGCACTCCAGAGGCCACCTTGCTGTTGAGTCCGTGTGGAAGTAACAAAACCTGCTGGGAGGAATGTGGGCTGTCATATGTGTGGTGGAATTATGGAATTGGGGTTCTAGCTCTCAGGCAATGATGACATGGGCCCAAAGTTTGGGGTCAGCAATGGCTGTGAAGGAAAGGGACATTAGCAGGAGGTAAGGAAGGAATTACCTGGGAAAGACTAGCTCAATGACGATTTCCTTCAAAGGCATATTCTTTGGTCAAAGTTCAAAGACACCCACAGAACCCCAAGGGCTTCTTTCCCTCCACAGAGCACCTGGTAGAATTCATCTGTTTGGCTGCATTTGAAGAATTGCCCACAGCTGATCACAGAGTCGCAGAAAGAGCCTGCATCAAGAATTTTGTGTCCTCCCCCCCCCCCTTTTTTTTTAATTTACAGACAAGGAACTCATCCCAGCACCTCTGCCAGCCTGGGGAAACAGGATTCTGAGCCATGACAGATGCCCTGTGTGCACAGCCACCCTGACACTCTGCTACCTCTGTGCACTAATCATGAGGCACATCCTGGCATGGGGCACCTGGACCATACCTCTTTGGACCCTTGGCAAGGCCCTTTGCCTCCTGGTTTGGGGTTCCACTGGAACATAATAATGAATCAGGAAGCAAGCAGGACAGTGAAAGGGATAAAGAGTTCACGAAGGGGCAGTATTTCAAGGCATTGCAAGGCGGCGACAGAGTACTGCGTTTATACTAACACCCTTTAAGGTGTAGTGCTAAGAACCAAACGGAAACCCTAGCAGTTCACACACACACACACACACACACACACACTTTTGGTGGCAGGGTACACAAGTGGGGGACAAGAACAATGATGCCTGACAGTCATTCTGGCGACACTGAGTTCAATGCCACAACAATGATCACCTACAATAATATCTTCCAAAGATACCTTTCTGTTGAGGGCACTGTTTTGCCATCAATCCCCTTCATCTAATCCACCTCCCCAAACATGGCCAAACTGTAAGCCAGGCAGACCTTACGAGGTACCTGGAAGTCGAACCCAGTTGCTAAAAACAGTGAATTCCCCACAGCGGAGCTCAATGACAGCTGAGCCCCAGGGAATGCATTCCGTGGTAGCATGACCCGACTCCACTGAAGGCAACAACCTGAGCAGTTTTGAGAACCTTACAGACGCTATGAACGTAGCGATAGGAATGGGGCCTCTTAGGCAACTTCTAGCCCAAAATTCCATGATTTAATATTTGTACCTTTTTGAAACAGTAATTCTGTCTATAAGACATAACTGACCCATAAGCTTGCCTTCTTTCAGAGAATAATTGGAAACAGATTTAATTCAAGTCCAATAGTTAATTCAATCCCATCTGCTTCTCCACAGCCCAATAAAACCATATATTTGATGATTTGAAGTCTTCCACCCCAAAATGTGTATGCATATACCCTTCAGGCAAACTTTTCATAAAACTTATATTGCTTCTTAGTGAAAACTAGGAGATGTAAAATCCATTTCTTATACAATTTCAGAACCGAGCTAGGAGACAGTACTTAACTTTCATGAGGGAATGGAAGTCTCTCCTTGAAATCATTATTTTGAGTTTTCTTTAAAAGTGCTTTAACATGAAATAGTCTAGAATTAACTTTTTCCTGCCCGTGAGTCTGTTTGATAATCAGAGCTTGGTAGTTTGGTATCAGTTACCCACAGGCTTCCTAGCTGCCTATGTAGGGGACACAGGAGAAAACTGAGGTTATGGAAGTAGCCTGAGGGGAACAAGCCCAGGGTAGGTAGAAGACCACCCTGCCACAGAGTCCTCCTCCCCACGGCCAGCTGCTACTCACTGACATTTCAGCAAGCCTGTGACTTTTCGCTAAAGCTTATGGCATTTCTTTTACTTATAGGGAAATCCTTGGAGTGTGCTGTTTCTCAGTGTGCCGTGGAGACACCTGAAATGGGGGGGGGGACTATTTGTCTAAAACACAGCTGCAAGCAAGGAATAGTGGTGCCTGCCTATAATCCCAGCATTTGGGGGACGAAGGCAAGACTTTAAGGCTAGTCTGAGCTATATAATGAGACCCTGTTTTAAAACAGAAACAAAACGAACAACACAGAAAGAGGTGGGGAGGGGGCATCTCAGGAATAAACTTTTTCTTTCCACACTCATGGTTGGTCTTTTGTGTTAATTCATGTGTTGGAACTGTTTACAGAAGCGCCACTGACTAATAGCTGAGTAATCACCATAGCAACCAAAGAACCCATCATCTCCACCGTATTCCAGGTCAGTTCATGTTTACTGTCTTCTCTATCAAATGATGGATTCAAGGGAAAATAAACCTCTATAAAGATGTGGACAGAAAGCCATCATTTATTTGTTCCCACAACCCCGAGTCCAGAAACAGCCTGACATGACAACTTTTTTATCTTGGGGATAGACAGTGAAGTGACAAGGTCACGAATCCCCTTGAACAGAGCCGAGATGTTTTTGTCCCAGAATGGCCTCCTCAAGGGCGCATCGTCATTCTGCCAGCCTTGCCAATGGAAGACATGTGGGTTGACCCCCCCCCCCGCCCCCGCCAAGGGAACTGCTGTGTTCTGATTTTATCCCAGTCCCTCACCTCATCAAGCACAGGATCCATGAGTCAGACAGCAACTCTGAGAAGGAAAAAAAACATATTTAGAATAATTTTAGAAAAAGGAGACATGAGTGAGCCACTTTTAGAACCCAGATATCAAAACACGAGAAAGGAGGAAAGAGACAGAGAGAGAGAGAGAGAATGTGAATTTTTTTCCATCTTCCATTTTGTGAGACCATCTGCAATTCACTCTTGACAAATCAGTTTGAAAGAAAGCTCAGGTGATGGGCCTTTGGTTGCCATGGCAATTATTCTGCTGTGTGCAGCCACTTAATGCATCTCTAATTTCCCCACAGAAGCACATACAAGGTCAGCAGAGGACACGAAATGCTTATCCCAGGCTCCAGGGGGCAAACCTGGACTCTCTGCCTGGCATATGACCAATATTTCTTTGCAATTAATGTCATGCCTGAGAATAATAGTGGTTATCTTTAATATCAAATAAAATGAGGCCAGTTTGGACTCTGGCAAAGGAGAGGCATAATAATATGTTTGCCTAATTCAACCTACCTTGAGTTCAAGCTTTCTTCCAACAGCTCAGTGAAGAATAGTTCCAAGGTTTCAGAGGAAGACAACCTGCTCACACAGGTTACCCCAAGACCTCCCCTCTTCTGTCAGGGCCCATCTTTTTTTTTTTTTCATGGAATATTTTGATAAAGTTAGATGCCTGACATTACACACACACACACACACACACACACACACACACACACACACACAATGCATTCTGGTTACTCACACACACACCCAATTTATCTCCCTCTTATTCTTATCAATATCTACCTACCTACCTATCCTTTTCCCAAATTCATAACTTTTGGTTTTGTTTTTATGATCCATTTAGTTTAACCCGGGCCATCCATGTGACGGTTGTAGTGGAACTATCCCCTGGAGTCTTGGGGGGTCACTAGTGAATACACAAATGTAGGCAGTGACTCCCCACCCCTTTTCCCGAGTCTATCAGTAGGATAGCGCTCCTATAGAAAGAACGTAAGAGCCAGAAGCTGTACAGATGGCTACAAATGCCATCTACACAAAGCACAGCCAATGTAACCACAAACTCAACACCTGTAGACACTTATACTAGTTCTGTACAAGAATGGGCTCATCCACAGCTGGGCAGGGATGGATGGTTTCAGGGGCACCCATCTTTGATTCTCTGTCTCTCTCCCTGCCTCTGCTCCTTCTTGGGGCATCCATCTGATGGAGACTTTGATTTTGGTCCTCTGTGCCTAGGCGCAGCTCACATGCATCCCCTGCTGGAGTCTTAAGACTCTGTCAATGGAGTATGAATTCTGTTCCTCAGAATGTCCCGGACACTTTGCTCTCCTCACTTTCCAATATGTTTCTAGTGTGGAGGTGGAGGGGAAAAATGATCCCCCTTTCATATTTTGCCCACACCCTAACCTTCCTGTTGCATGGAGGCTTAGAGTTCCAGAATGTTTGTTGAACATCTGTTCTAGAACGCTTTTGTTGCTATGATAAAACACTGACCAAAATCGACTTGGGGAGGGAAGGGTTTATTTCAGCTTACCCATTACAGTCCATCGAGGGAAGCCAGAATAGGAACTCAAGCAGAAACCTGGAGGCAGGATCTGAAGCAGAGGCCATGGAAGAATGCTGCTTACTGGATGGCTCTCCATGGCTTCTTCAGCCTGCTTTCTTATAAAGGCCCACCTGTCTAGGGATGGCATTGCTCACAGCAGGCTGGGCCCTCCTACATAGATTAGCAAGTAAGAAAACTCTCTGTAGACAATGCCAATCTGATGGAGGCAATTCTTTAGCTGCAGCTCCCTCTTCCTAGGGTGTTTTAGGTTTGTGTCATATAGAGTTGACAGCTGACATTGAGCAGGACAGCATCTATCAGCGCTCACTTCTAGTCTAGGCCATGAGGATACTGTAGCAGATAGAACATAGGAAAGTCCTTGTGGTTATGTGGCTTATATTGTCACAGGGAGAAAGACAAGCTCTTGATCATGTGCTAATAAGTAAGGGTCCAGTATGTAAGGAGTGGGTACGTGCTCACAAACGTACTAAAGAAAAATGTCTCATGCTCGCAAGCATGCTAAAGAAAAATGTCTCAGGGGAGCCATGGATTGTGATTTTAGGTAACACAAGACAAACCTTATGGAGAAAGCAACATTTGGGGCTAGACCTAAAACACTGTGGGGGTGAACTAAGTGGACCACCACCGATCAGAATGGCTGGGATTGAGTAAGGCAAAGAGGAACAAGGCCAGACAGGAGTGCCTGTGTGCCTGTGTGCACACATGCATTTGCATGCTTGTGTGCATGCATTATGAGAGTAGAAATCAGATGCCAATGGTAAAATCAGATCAGATGAAAAGATTTTTAAAGTTAACTCTCATACAGTAAAATGAACGGATCACAATCTGGAAGACTTCAAACAAGGTTGGAAGTAGTTTTTCTTAAGCATTAACAGCATGTATTATAAAGCATAAGAGAGAAACCATCTCAACCCATTTCATGACTATCTCTTATGTATTATCATTATTTTTAGGACAAGCAGGTGTTTGTGCTAATTTGCCTAAGGCTAACTGGCATAATTTCACTGAATCATGCCAACAAGAATGTAAAATGACATCTTATGTTTGTGATTTGAGTGTTGGGGGGCCATCAGGATGGCCTGAGTTTGAGTTACATGGCTGTGGGTGGTTAGCCTTGGGGGTTGTCTAAACAACAGCCTCTGGTCTGGGGTTTCTGTAACAGAGCAGCCAGACATGAGACGTGCTGAGAAGTGGTCAGTGGTAGAGGTTACAGCCTCCTCTGCCTGTTTGGATAACGTGCTCGCTGCATCTCCTTTCTCCACCGCTGCAGGCAACCATCACCAACCCAGGTTTTATACCATGTGACAGGTCTTCCATGAGCTTCGGCTCATGACAGGCAGACCACCCTTCGGGGATAATGCAGATAACCGTTTGTGCTCTGGCACTTCCTAGGAACACGAGTCATTTTCAAAGATGCTGTGCAGTAACTCGATTTTGCAAATGGCCTCATGATTAGATTCAGATAATCTAAATTTTATTAAATTCTGGAGGACATATCCCATCATGTGACGTACCAGTTAAGCACACACACACACACACACCCTCCACTTGCTGCCTAAATAATTTTAGCTTCTAAGTTCTAAAGTCCTTTGTCTCCTAACTGCTATGTATCAGACCAGCTTCTGTCTCTGGGGACCTCCTGGGACTTGACTTAAAGCTCAGTGACATCCTGTGCACCTGTCAATATCCATTTACTCAACGATGAGGTTATGGCACCCTGGAGTAGTGCTCAGCTACACTACAGACATAAGGGCTGCTTCGTAAGTGGCTAAGCTGGGGATGGACTCTTTTTCCAGCTGCTTTTTAAAATTAGCATTCATTCTGTACACAGCATTCTCTGCCCCGACGCTAAAGTATAGTTATAACTGGAAGAAAGCTCGCCTCCTTATATCTATGATTTCAGATCCTTCCTGTAACAATTAAATGACTTGGATTTGGGGTTTTGACTTTTTCAAGGTTAAGTATATCAGATGCTAAGCTCAGGGGTTTGGGTTACAAGCAATGGGTAAGAAGCTTGGAAAACTTTGGTGGTGCTTTAGTCAGTGTTCTATTGCTGTGAAGAGATACCGTGACCACAACAACTCTCTTAAGAGAAAGCATTTAATTGAGGCTTGCTTACAGTTTTAGAGATTTAGTCCATTATCATCAAGGCAGACATGGTGCTGGAGAAGTAGCTGAGAGTTCTACATCTAGATCTACTGGCAACAGGAAGAAAGGGACGCTGGGCCTGGCTCGAGCTTTTGAAACCTCAAAGCCCACCCCACCCCCCAGTGACATGCTTCCTCCAGCAGGGCCACACCCACTCCAACAAGGCCACACCTCCTAATCCTTCACGAGTAGTGCCACTCCAGGATGATTAAGCATTCAAATATACGAGCCTATGGGGCCATTCTTATTTATTTATTTATTTATTTATTTATTTATTTATTTATTTATTTATTTTTGAGTTGGGGTTTCTCTGTATAGCTTTGGGGCCTGTCCTGACACTTACTCTGTAGACCAGGCTGGCCTCAAACTCACAGAGATCCATCTGCCTCTGCTTCCTGAGTGTTGGGATTAAAGGCATGCACCACCACCACTCAGCTGCCATTCTTAGTCTAACCACCACAGAGGGGAGGTAAATGTTATCAAAAGGATGCAAGATATACCCAGAAATGATGGGCTGACTGGAGAAATAGCCTGAAGGGACAGACAGAAGCCAGAGGAGGGGGCAGAAAGCATCTTCTGAAGATGCTGCAGTGACATCATCATCATCACTTCCCGTGGCTCTTGGTTTCTTTCCTGACTAGTACCATCGTGAAGCAGTCATGCATGATCACTATAGTCTTAACTTTTTGTTTCTTGTTTATTATGGTTATGCCTATGCATGTGTGTGAGTATGTTCAGGAGCATGTGTGTGGAGGTCAAAGGTCAACTTCAGGTGCCATTCCTCGAGAGCTATCTACATTGTGTTTGAAGTCAGATTCAGTGCTAGGATTACAAATACACCTGGACTCCCCACCTCTCCGTGGTTTCTGGGGAATCAAACCAATGTCCTTGTGCTTGAGAGACAAGAACTTGATAGACTGAGCCATCTCCTTAGACACCCTTTCTGTTCTCCTCTTTCCCTTAGAAGTGTTCAGACAGGAGTGTTTGACCCAGCTTGTGTGGCCTACCCCAGTAGAATCTGCCAGGAGCTAGCAGGGACTCTCTGTCTTCTGGCCTCTGTTGAGGTAGATGGGATGCTGCTGTGTACCTGAGTTGTGGTCTTTGCAGATGGGGATATGTTTACATAATGGACAGCAAGGTGGGTCAATTCCACCTTAGGCACTTAGCTCAATTACCTCTAATGTCCCAGAAGGTAGGCACGTAAGACTTCCAGTCCAGAAGGTAAAGAGACTTTTATTTGTTTATTTGCATGTGTGTGCTATACATGTAGGCAAGTGGAGGTCAGAGGTCAGTTCTGGCTGCCTTCCTCAATGGGTCTCCCCCTTATTTTTGAAGCAGGGTTTCTCACTGAACCTGGAGCTCACCTGTTTGGTAAGACTAACTGGTCAACAAGCTCTGGGTATTGTCCTGTCTCCCCATCCCCAGTGCTGAAACAAGAATGTATTATTGCCACATCCAGCTTTTGATATGGGTGCCGGGGATCTGGACTCAGTTCCTCATGCTTGTGGAGCAAGCGCTTTACGGCCGACCTGTCTCCCTAGCCTCACCACTTAGACTTCAGTGTTGCTTCTATTGACTTGGACCTTTCTATTTTTTTCTCTTCACCAATTCCCACTTGTCCATCTGATGTCTGCTTCAACATCAGGTTCTCAGAAAAGCAATGGGCCTCCTATATAGTTACATCCTTGATCCCGTTCTCATCAGAGCCCCTATTGTCCTTTGCAGATGTTAGTTATTTGGCCGCGTTGTGTTCTTACCCTGCAAGGAAATGTCACGAAACACGACAGAATCCGCTAATAAGAGTTTTATTAGATATAAAGGGACAGAGAGTGCGCAGGCCTGTGGGAGAGACACGTGTGTGGAGAAGAAGAAGGAACCAGGAACATGGCGCTCATTTTTTAAAGGCTGGGCGTGGCCAGGTCACGTCACTACTCCACGCATGTGCGTAGATCACATGGCCACGTTGCACGCTTACATCGCCATGAAACATCACGGATCCTGATCACACGAGACGCCTCGACCCGGAAATGGCTATCCTGACCTGGAACTGGCTAGGCAGAAGTGTCCGCCTGGCATATGCAAACACGCCCAACCGTGGGGGCGTGTTGTGAACCCTTTAGCAGATCTGTCACATGTCTAATCAAATGAACGTTTAGCATGTGAAGTTAGGGACACTTCAAGTACTTAAAATAAGGTGACTCCCTCACCCATGTGCTGCCACACTAAGATATTATGGCCTTTCACAGCATGAGCTGTTTTCCCTCATCCCTAGCCCCTCAAGACATATAATGGCATGTGAGTGTTCCTACATTTCATTCTGGCAGCCACATAGGAAGTTTGAAGTATCTAGTAGAGCTAGAATTCTGGTATTATGACCACTTCAGTCCTCCACTGCCCTAGACTATTTTTGTAACCTGTTCTTCATTTTTAATGTGATCTAGTACTAGGCAGGATCTAGATTCATCTATTAGATCCCAGAGGTGAAAATTAGCATCAACTCTGAGCTAAACCCAGAGATAGAATTATATTTAATTCTATCATAACCTTATATAATAGTCCCCTGGCCCTCTCTTTTGGGGGATCCATCTTCTGAGGTTTCAGTTATCTGTGACCGACTGAAGTCTGGAAATAGTGATTGGAAAATTGCAAGGATAGAAAACCTGTACATCTTCAATCGCATATTGCTCAAAATGGTGCGAGGAAGTCTTATATGCTCCCTCCCTACGGGAACGAGAACCACCCTTTCGCTTGGTGACTCCAGACAGTGCAAGTCATCCACACAGTGCTCATGCTCAAGGAACCCCTCTTTGATTTAACAACGGCACCGCCTTGCAAGAGAAGTGGTGCTGGCATTTTAGTTGTCCGAGAGAAACCGTGAAGGGGCTTCCTCTAAGTGAGGAGGTGAAGGCTCCCAGCCTCAGAACCAAAGAAAGGAATGTGTGCCAAGGCTGCTAAGAACCCATCATAAACCGTCTGTCCTTGAAGTTATGAAGAGGGCGAATGAAATTTGTGCTACTTTTGTTGTTTTTCTTCAATTGCAAAAGTTACAGCCACCTGATGGGTAAATCCCTAAGAACTCAGTACCATCTGTGGCTTCCGGCATCCCCCCCCCCCCCGGGTGGGAGTGGGACAGGTGCTAAGGCTGCTAAGGTGCTAAGGCTAAGAAGGAATACTATCAATGAGGGCCTATTGTTACACACGCACTGGCAGGCACGCACGCACGCACGCACGCACGCACGCATGCGCAATGCATAAACGCTCACTCGGGGGTCTTGGTACTGATGCAGAAGTCAGATGACAACTTGTGGGAATTGATTCTCTCCTTTCTGGGGATCAAACAGGTCATCATGTTTGGTGTTGATGCAACCTAGGGGTCTTTTCTTGTGTGGCTACATTCCTGCTGAGCCATGCCTGGCCTGGCTCCAGAGCAGAGCACCTAGCCCTAATCCATCCTTGGTTTAACCCACACCTTTTGTTTCCCTTATCGCCCGATGTGAGTCTTGTCTGAGAGTCAAGGATCAGAGAGTCTCCCAAGGATCACAGGCCTATGCAAAACTTGGTTCAGGAAACCCGGAAAACAGTGGTACCTGAGAAATCAAGGAATTTGCACTCAGCATTTTATCTCTGGGAGCTCCTTTCAGGTTGCTTTGAAGGTATGGAAATTAACTGGCTAAACTGTAATTAGAGAGAAATAAAACTGCCCTAGGCGAAGGGAAAGTGCTCCAGTCCTTCAAGGCTGGACCCCCTGCAGCCACGAGAGGCTAGATTCATTCTTAAGATGCCTCCGAGTCTTCTTTCCACAGATCCACGTCAACCCACCCGTGACAAACAGTGACATTCTCTGTCTGTATTTTCACCTCTTCAGGAAATACAGGAGGAGACCCTTGAAGTCTGGGTGCACAATCCAGGTTTATTATAAACAAAAGTAGCAAGGATCAGAGAGATGGCTCAGAGGTTAAGAGCACTGGCTACTTTTCCAAAGGACCTGGGTTCAGTTCCCAGCACCCACATAGCAGCTCACAACCATCTGTAACTCCAGTCCCAGGGGATCCAACACCATCTTCTGACCTCCAAAGACACTGCATGCATGTAGCACAAATACATACATGTTAGGCAAAACACATAAAGTCTAAACAAACAAACAAACAAAAGCAAAATTAATGTTCCACCCAGTGCAGAGAAACAGACTCCCCATGAAAGGAAGGGATCCCAACCCTGTATTGGTCCAACTCCTTGGCAAGACTGGACTTGTATATTCTATTAGGTAAGTTGTGGGACAGGGTTAGACCTCTTTTATCCCTCTCTGATTTGACTGATTAGTCTGTTTAAGTGAAAACAGGAACCTGATCGGAAATTGTAAAGAATTAAAAATCCCATCCTGAGACAGCCCATCCAAAGAGCTTTGGGCAAGAACCTGGAAGTGGGCCATTTTGGATGAAAGTGTGTGTGGTTCAGTCCGGGCTGATTTGTGTCCGGAGCCTCCTTCTCGGCCGATCTACACAGAACTCTCTCTTATTTCCCGTTGTGGCAAGAGCTGTAACCTGCAGAGCGAGCTCACCAGTCCCTGTTGCTTCTGTTTTATAGAAGAGGAAACTGTGGCCGGCCGGGAAATGGATGTTGCTTGCCTGAATAATTAGACTGTGAAACCAGTGAGGGGGGTCACCAAAAACAATTCAAAAATGAGTGTAATAAATTACAAAAAGTTGAATGCTATGTTTCTTAGGGATACCTCTCCTGAAACTGTGTCTTCCATGCTTTATAGACATGCAGATGTAAGTGCTAGGAAGTGATACAGAATATATTTCTTGTTGTAGACTACAGTGGGAAAAGAAAGCAAGCAACTATTTGAAAACTAGTCATTTTTGTTCAAATCTTTTCATGTTACAGATGCTGAGCCGAAGCACAGAAACATTCCCACTGTTGAGTAGAAAAGGCATGACCAGCTCCGAGGCACCTTCCAGTCTGGTTCTGTTCCCACATTAAAAAAAAAAAAAAAAAAAAATGGTCTTAATGGCCTGTGCCTTGTCAGCCCTACAGAACTGTTATAAGATTTAAATGAGACCATCCAAACGCTTTTTAAGAGCCGTGAAGAAGCCTACAAAGGGAAGACACGCCTTTGCATTAGTCAAGGTTGTGAGTCAGAAGGCAGAGGTTGCTGTAGGTATTCCGGCAGAGGGGAGGTTGGTGCAGAAAATGGGTCACCAAATGGTTTTCAGGGCTGGGGGAACAAAAGCAAGGAGGAAAGGAGGGGTGGCATTATCTCCAGCACAGAAAGTGCAGAACAGTCTTTGCATCCTCTGGTGATTAACCACCGAGGAGGCAGAAAAATAGCTTCCATTTTCTTCCCACCTTCCAGCCTCGGTTGAGTGCCTCCTGCCCACAGAAACCCAGGAAGTCTTCAGACTTCCCTTCTTGCTGTCCTAGGGAGATCACACTAAGGTGGGCCGAGGACCACAGATAAGGCCCAGCACACTGTTTGACCCAAGTTTTCTCAGTCCACCCGAGGGTCTCATTAACAGTTATGGCTCTGTCTCTTGCCCCTCCATAGTTACCGAGTCTCCAGATTTGCCCCTCCATAGTTACTGAGTTGCCAGATTTCCAAGACTCTGCCATTGTTCCTATGAATCCCAGCGATATTCATGATGGTTGGTTAAAAACCAACAATACTGTTCTTCGGTATCATGAGTCAGCTGTTGGGGTTTTCTCTGAGGTCCCATCTGGTGGTTATCTTCTGCCAGTGGACTTGGTGGGGATGTCTAAAAATCCTAGATGGAAATTTCCACAAATAAAAATTGTGGATGGTTTAAACCACATGTTAAATAGTGTGATGAAATATTGCCCCATGTTGCTTTGTACAGAATAGGGCAACAACCACTTTTTTGTTTGATATCCACATGGTCTAGGCCTCCTACACCATATTTATGTTCAAATAACTCTTATTTTATTTAATAATGTCACTAATGTGTGAGAAGGGTCGTGCTGACCATTCAGGGATATATATATAGAAAGTAAGAAAGTAAGAAAGTAAGAAAGTAAGAAAGAAAGAAAGAAAGAAAGAAAGAAAGAAAGAAAGAAAGAAAGAAAGAAAGGCCATAAAGAGCGTCCTTTAAGTGGAAAGGGAAAAGTTTCAGCCTCATAAGCAAAGAAAACAAAAGCTTGTAAGCTGAGATTGCTCAAGCCTTCTTGTTGGTGACTTTCCAATCTGTCCTGCTGCTAATGAGCCCAGCACTCACTAAACGCTCAAGACACCGCCATAACAAAGCTGTACCTGTCATCCAGGATGCTCCCACCACCCAGAAAAGGAGCCATGAGTTTCCACTTTTGTGTGGCGGTGGAAGATGGTAGCAGTGGTTACTAAGGCCATCTGAGCTGTGGTTCTGGTTGTGTAAAACCCCCCTGCTGCCACCTGCCATTTCTGTGTGTTATCATAATGCTAAGTAACCACCAAGACAACATGTTGTCAGGGGGACTGTCTGTGGCCATACCCTGTGGATGTTACTAAGTTGGCCTGGCCCCCATATGACACTCCACTGCTGTGTTCTGGGGAAGTCTATCTCTATTTGTTGTGTGATACTATGCCTCGGAAGATATGAACAAACCTCTTCATTCCACATGGGGAACAGACAACAGATCGAAGTAAGGATACCACCAAATTCTAATGTGGTGAGTCAATGCATTGCTTACAGGAGTATAGGGGAGAGGTTACTTACAGGAGTGGAAATGACTCAGAGACAGCTGCATCACTGAAGTCCACCCAGGTCTGGATGATGGGTCACTAAAGCTAGAAACCTGCATTGTACTGCATAATCAGCAGGGAACTCAACAGGCTGGAGCATCTTTCCTAGGTAATTTGGCTGCTCTCTATGGCTTTTTCAGCTCAGCTGGCCACTGTCCCTTCCAGGGAGCATAGCCGGTCTAAGAGGGTCCCTCAGCCGTCCCTGTCATTTTCATTTACACATGGGAAACTCACCTAGTAGATCTGGTGAGTTTCAGGAACTTCTCAAGACTGTTCAGTTGTTTACTTCCTGATTACTAATAAGCTTCCCTTCAGGGTGGATCTTTTTATCTCTCAATCAATTACTTCCAAAGAAACTGATATACACTTTTGCCCCAAACTGATTGCTGTTTGTGACCTTTGACCTTTCTCTGTTTTTCAAGTACAATGCTTGCTCTTCCACAGAGACAGGATCATGGAAGTCTGGTCCCAGAACAGTACATCTATTAATCTATTCCTTTCTTTGAGAGCTAGAATCTACAGTTCCATTTTAGCCTTTAAAGGTAAAATAGTAAATAAAAGAGGTGCTTAGTGCTGGTTGTGGTCATACAATAAAGGTAGATCATAAACAAACACATAATCACACATTATGGGAGTAATAAATG